TGAGATGTGGAAAGTTTATCACCCGTAGTTGTAACACCAGCATCAAAAAGAAACGCTGGCTTTGTGGCTTCTTGAGTGCGCTTGCATTAGCGAAGAGAGGGGAAGTTTGAGCATGTTTTATTTATTATCCTGTAGGGGACTCGCGATGAAGTCATGCATCTCTGGGGTTAAAGGAAATAAAGACAGTAATGTTCAGATGTGTCGCATCAGATTTTATTGCACTGAATTACTGTACAGTACATACATTACAATGTACCTTACAATACTGTACATATTTAATCCTGTCAGTTTTTAGTCCGATCTTTCTGACGAACCAGCTATAAAGTTGAGCAAGTTTAAGCAGAAGTGGTTATGTCATCAAGTCTATCATGACAACAGCTGGGATGATTACACAACTATAGAATGCTTAAAAAACAAAAAAAATAAGCCCACTATTCAACTTAAAATCAAGCAAAGTGGAGTTAAAATGTGCACTCACACGGTGTGACAGATTTTGCTTGAGTGCTTTTGAAATCTGGCCGTCAGCCAGTGTAATGAGAGGTAAAAGAGATGTGAAGGCCAAGAATGAATAGTTTTGCACATCTGTGCAGTCACTCCTGTGTAAATGAACATTTTTGGAAACCACATTGATTATCTAAAGCTGCACTCAGTGTTTCTGTTAAACAACAGATCAACATATAAAATATAAGGTAAGAGGAGCTGCACTGAGCCTGGTGTAAACGGACTGTAACAAAAAGTAGCTACCCAGACAAAACAAATTACCAAGTTATTGAATATTGGTTAACACCAGCAAGCATGGTTGTCAAGCTGCGAAACTGCACAAAATGTGTGGCTGCACATCGCGCTAATTAGATAGCTGCTAATTAGATAGCCACTAATTAGTGCTAACAAATTAATTAATACTTGAAATTTACCCACCGAAAATGGAGTGCAGTGTTTTCAGGCAGGCTGTTTGTACATTATTTGTCAAAAAACCCCAAAATGAAATGCTGTCAGGAAGAGGAAATTAGCTGAGTCCAAATTGTTTAACATGGCAGTCTCTGGGGAGTGGAGTCAGCTCCAATTGGCCATTAATGGAACTGCGGTTTTTTAGCACTTCCTGCATTGACTTCAGAAAGCGGGTGTAGCTTACAGAGTATTAGGATTTCTAAAGCGTGATTATACCTTCTGCTTGGGTCAGACAGAGTGATGGTCCGTGTGGACATCCATGTGTTTCACTTTTTATTTTTGTGGCTCATCCATCTACTGCTAACTACACGCGCGCCTGAGGCAGTGGACTTCAAACAAGTATGATTACTTGGCTGTTGGGTCTGCTTATTTATTTCCCAACGTCATCCTGCATATAACGTTAGAAAACTATTCCCCAGGATCTTTTGTTGGTGAACTTGGTGGACATGGGCGCTCACACTAGAAGCAATTTGCCTATTGGCTGCTTTTTAGTTGACGGGTGATCACTGGTGGACTTTCCAGGCTTTGGTTGCTTGTCCTTCATTCTTATTGGTAATCTCACACCTCAAAGTTGAGAAAGGTTTAACTTGGCACCTACCTACTTTTTGCATTCACTAGCAGAAATTTTGCTCTCTGTTGCTTACAGTTACTGAATGTCACTTTTGGTGGTCTGTGGTTGCCATGTTGGTGCTAGTAACTTCCTGGGTGGACAGCACTTTAAAGTACAGTAAATGGTTCCTTATGATGTTATATAATTTGAATGCAGAATGGAATGGGTGAATGCACCCATCATCTGCAATATCCAAGTATCTCTTGGATGTCCATTATAAATCTTATATCTTCCATGTTTTGTTTTGTTTTTCTCTCCCTTGCACAGAGGCGACAGAAACGATCCCTAATGCCAAGTCACCTAAAAAAGCCAACGCTGCACATACCATTCAGGAGGTGATGGATGTGGAGGGAGTACATCTAGAAGAAGGAACAGCGGAGACATCCCAGGGTGAGGACTCTGAGCTGAGTCTGAGTTTTCAGGGCTATGTCGCCGAGCTGCGACAGTGCCAGAGCAAAATGAGAAACGCCCAGATGCCCCAGAGCGGCCGCAACCCACCGGAGGGCCAGGACTGCAACACAGATCTTTACAAGGCCACCATCGTCTAAAGGGACTCCCCCCCCCCAATCCCCACTGCTGCACTTTTAAAGCCTGAGCGACTGTTGTTTGAGGAGATGTAGTCGAACAATGTGCTGCATGTACAAGTTGTCAGTTTTCTTTACTAAAGCATCAATATTATGGTGATGGATATTGTATATTTGTTTAAAAACAGTTCAGGCATCTTGTTGACTTCTAGTACCGGTTGTAATTTTGGGACAGTGATATGTTTTGTTATTGGTATGCTTTGATAATTAACTATTTTGAGCCATGTTAGGCTAAATAATAATACCACAGAAGAAGCCTGAAACTCACTTTGGGGTACCAGTTGATAATAATTGTACACAATTTAAAAAGTGGAAATGACTGAGAAATAGGACACTGCTTGATAAGAAGCTGCTTAACATCTTCTAAACAAAAAAACAATGTAATAACCGGCAGCCTTCTGGTGGTGGAAACCAAAAAGTTAAAGCTCAGGAAAAACGCTTGTTCAGGTTCTTGATAACAATTTCGAAACCATCACCAAATGATTTAATGAGCTGTTAAGCTGTTTGGGTATATTGAGTTTTACATTAAAGTCCCAATTAACTGTCCACCCATTACCTTTTTCTGCTAGTCTTGCGCTGAGAAAAGTTGTGAGATGCAATTGAAATAGCAATGATAATTTAAAAATCTAGAAAGTAAAGCTTGACTTTTGTTTTACGTGTCCTGATTAGAAAGTAGGACCACATGCTAGGAGAGGACTCTTAGATATTTGACTATTTCTTGTTCATATTGTCTTCCTGTGTTGTACAGATGACACATAACAGTACCTCTATTGTCTGTACTTTCTGTTTCTGTGGTTGTGAGGTTGTCCAAATTGTTGAACAATTAAAAGGCTTCGATGGCTCTACTTTCAACCAACTGTGTGTCTTTGCTTTTGTGCTTTCATCGGGTAAACGAGGGGGGGAAAAATACTTCAAATGTTTCTTTGTTGTTGTATCTAATCCAAAGTCTTCATTTCATACTTGGTATATTTGACCAGCTCAATGTGTTTGCTAAGTCAGTTAGAGCTGTCAATAATTAACAACGTAGTCTTCAAGGCTGAACGATTTCCCATCTGGAAAGTTCACCTTCACTTGCTACTTATGTGCTAGTTAGAGGCCCAGCCTCCTCTTTGTATTTTTAGCCCAACATCTGGAGGAAGATTATTACAGCTGGTGAAAATTAGAGGTTAGATTGCATGACTGGGGACTTTGACTTGATACAGCATGTCACTGCTGGAATGCTGACAAGTTATGAAACTCTTGGATAGTTGACTTCCATGCTTTACCTGATTTCAGAGGTATTTTCTTTAATGAGTTCTTCTTAGGAACAACAATTCCTTTGAGGTCCCAAATTATCTTCCCGATTAGACATTTCCTTATCTTGAGATGTTATTGAGCATAACACCTGTGAATATTTTACAGCAGACACTACTTTTCATAGTCACACACACTTATTTCACTTGTATTTTGCAACCTTCAACTCCAGATTTAGAAAACTCATTGTGTACATTTCAGGACAGAAACCTTCTAGATGACAGATTACCTGAAGAGAACTGCAAACTGAATGAAGGGAGTGCTGACAGGAACAATAATGCTTGAAAATGCACATTAAAGATAAATGTGCCTTACTTCTTTGTCCTTGTATCCCCAAATGGTCTATGGTGAAATGATTAGCAAAACTGAGATAATTCCAATCACACCACAGCAGCTCAGTGAATTTATTAGACTGACATGGTCAGGATGACTTGCTGAAGTTTAATCTGAGTATCAGAATAAAGAAGAAAATTGATTTAGGGACTTTCATGGTTGATGTCAGATGAGTGGAGCTGAGTATTTCAGAAACGGCCGATGTGTTCCTGCACTCTCTATGGTTCATAGAGAACGGTCTGAAAAGAGGAAATATTTGTAAGTGACGGGTCTCTGGGTGGAAATGTCTGGAGAATAGCCAGACTGGTCCAGGTGGATACTAACCACTCATTACAACCAAGGTATGCAGAAGAGCATCTTCAACAACACTTCCAACCTTGAAGCAGATGGCCTATAGCAGCAGAAGACCGCACTGGATGCCACTCCTGTCAACTAAGGAACTGCCAACAGGAAAGTGATACTGCAAACAATATCTCACCACAACTATTGGGACAACAGAAGATTGGAAAAATGTTGTCTCGTCTGATGAGTCTTCGTTTCTGCTGCGACATTCAGTTGGTAGGATCCGTATCTGGCGTAAACGTGAAATCAATCCCGAATTGTATCGGCGGTACAGACTGCACCACTTAGTGAGCACCATTGAGACACCGCAGCCTACCTGAGTATTGTTGCGCTCTATGACCACAGTATGTCCATCTTCTATTGGCTGATAATGTGTCGTGTCACAAAGTTCAGATCATCTCAAACTGTTTTTTTTTTTAAACACGACGATGAGTTCACTACTCAAATGGCCTCCACAGTCATCAGATCTCAATCCAATAGTGCATCTTTGTTGTCTATTGTGGTAGCACGGAACATTGGCATCGCGGATGTGCAACCGACAAATCTGCAGGAACCGTGTGATGCTGTCATATCCCGCGTCGATATGAAGCAAAATCTCTGTTAAGTACAGAAACGACGCACACCTACACCACAGGTGAAAGAAAAGCTAAAATTTGGCGACTTTAGGAGAAAGCAGTGTTAAACCTAAAAGGGGTAAGGATTGAGCGGTATTACCTCTCTGCCTGCCTCTGTCTGAAGAAACTTCTTGTTTCTTTCGTGAGTCGATAAGTCGTAATGATAAACCGTGGGCGACCGCAGAGGGGGAGCTGAGGGAACACCAGCCGGGATACAGGATGCCTCAGCGTCAGACAAGCCTAATGACGCAACGGGTTTACTCAATACAGCTTCAACTTGTGAGGGACAGGATAATACTTGCAGGATTTCCCACGTTTCCTATGACCAAAAACGGGCTGAGGACTCTGACACTGACAGATATTACGTGACAGGCACACGGGAAATAAGCTTAAATAAGCTGAAATAAGCACCAGGGAAACATCAGATGCAAACTTTCGCGATGGCAAACGCCGTGATGCTTTTTCTCTCGTGCGTTTTCGCAGGAGTGGTAAGTTTTAGCCACACTTCTCTACTCAAGTGAGTCTGTGCTTATTGTTATTGCGTGTTTTTGAGAGCGTGAAAGGAGTGAAATAATGTCTCTCCCTTGATTTCAGCACACATTAGCACCTACATATGAAGCAGAGACGGTGAGGAAGAGCCATACAGGCGAGTTTCTTTTTGTTATTGTTTGTTTTTGTTTGTTTGTTTTTACTCTGGTCCTAAAATAATTTTTTCTATATTATTATTATTATTATTATTATTATTATTATTATTATTATTATTATTATTATTTCACTTAGTTGGTGCTGCTGCACTCTTAAGTCCTGAGTGAGCTGATGTTTGCATAGGTGTTACCTGTAGGGGAGGGGGTGTAGCTTGCTTATGGATTTTTGTACATTCATTTGAAGTGAAAGGGGTCTTTGTGTGTGAAAACCAGCGAGAGAGTGGGTGGGTCGGGTTTCCAAGACAGTTTCTGCTGCTAATGTTTTGTGTTTTCCCCTTTACGTCCTCTGCAGTTGTTACCACCACGGGCAAAGAATGTAAATTCCCTTTTCGTCAGGGTGGAAGGATTCATCATCACTGCATCACTGTCCTGTCCTCAAGACCATGGTGAGTCCTTATTAGCCAGCCTGTGTGTCTGGATCTACTGTTTTGGTTGCACAAACAGTCTGTAATGTGTGTGTAATCAAGTCAAAACACACTGTCAGATCTCTCTCTCTCTCTCTCTCT